TGTTTGGGTTGATTACTTTGATTTCTGAGAGCCCGAAGACTGGAGAGATTGATGACTGAGTGAGGCCGAGGGCCTAATTTGTGAGGGCATTTATGGGATCGGGCAGCACGCCACAACATGTTTCATTGATTCTGCCATGATGGGCATTGATATAGCGCTTGGGCTGAAGGAGCCCCTTCGGAGTCTATACACACCCCCAGTGAGCGCATGTACCTATTGAGTGCAAGTGCCGAGTGCTGAGCGATTGTGAGGCATGAGTGATTGCGAGGTTGGAGTGATTGGGAGGACTGAGTGATGTTTGCCCGAGGGGCGGTATATGATTTCATCATTTATGCTCATAGTTGCTTTGAGTACTTGTTTGAGAACTGTTGAAAGATATCTTTAACTTATTTTACTTGAACTTGATTTAAGCAAGCTGATTTGACTTAAACTCTGGTTGTAAAGCATGTCGTACTTTACTGAATTTTGTGATATGAACTATACTTGCATCTAGCTTGTCACTACTTCTCAGTCTTTATTTACTTCTGTTGCTTATTGAGTTGGTGTACTCACGTTACTCACTGCACCTTGTGTGCAGATCCAGGCATTTCTGGCCACGGTAGCGGATGCTGATATTTCCGTAGCTGATCATTGGAGATAGCAAGGTAGCTGCTTGGCGATCGCAACCCTGCTTTTCTTCTTCTCTACTTTCCCCTTAGTTGTAATTTTGAATTTTTCCCAGACTATGTGTAGTCTTGTTATTATCAGACCAGTCTGTAGTAGTTTCTCATGACTCAGTGACACCCCGATGTTTGGGGCTTTTCATTCCGCTCTATTTTTGAGTTCAACTCTTGTTTCTTTTATGAAACTCGGTTATACAAAATGTCTTTTGGCATATCTTTGAATGAATTATTGTAGTATTGTGGAAATCGGCTGGCCTAGTACAATCGATAGGCGCGATCACGACAGGTTTGAGTTTAGGGTCGTGATAAGTTGGTATCAGAGCCTAGGTTACATAGGTCTCACGAGTCATGAGCAGGTGTAGTAGAGTCTTGCGGATCGGTATGGAGACATCTGTACTTATCTTCGAGAGGCTGCAGAACCCTTAGGAAAATCTAACATTCTTGAATTCTTGTCGTGCGAATCTGTTGATTCTGGTAACTAAACTTCTGTTGTTTCATTCTCTCATAGATGTTAAGGACTCGCACTATCGGACAGGAGGACCAGCCACCAGTACCACCAGCCAGGGCCGCGAGAGGCCGCAGTCGAGGCCGTGGTAGGGGTAGGTGTTTAGCCCGTGCAGCAGCCGGGGCAGTACTTGCAGACCCCCAATTTCCTCCAGATCAGGACCAGGTCCCCGTGATAGATGTTCCAGCGGGAACAACTCAGGCACCACCTGTGCCTATTGTGATTCCCGGCCTTCAGGAGGCCCTAGATCAGATTATGACAGTGTGTACTAGCCTTTCTCAGGCGGTCTCTATTTCGATGGCCGCAACCACATCTTAGGCCGGGGAAGGCACTCAGACTCCCGCCACCCGTATATCGGAGCAGGTTGTTCAGGGACTCCAGACACCGGGGGCTCTACCAGCCCAACCGGTTGCAGCTGCTCAGGATTATGTGGTTCCTGCTATGCCTGGGATGAGCAGCGTAGGTTGGAGAGGTTAGGGAGGAGCCTCCATCTTTCAGTGGTGCAGAGGGTGAGGATGCTCAGGGTTTATTGGATAAGTGTCAGAGGATACTCCGTACAACGGGTATTCCGGAGACCAGTGGGGTCTCATTCACTACCTTCCAGTTCTCTGGGGTTGCATTCAGTTGGTGGGAGGCTTACGACAGGCGTAGGCCGGTCGGTGCAGTAGCCCTTACTCGGCAGCAGTTCTCCGTTATCTTTCTGGAGAAGTTCGTGCCTCAGTCCCGCAGAGAGGAGCTGCACAGACAGTTTGAGCAGCTTCGTCAGGGTGATATCTCTGTGACGCAGTATGAGATGTGATTCTCAGAGTTTGCCCGTCATGCTATCTGGTTGGTTCCCACAGACAGAGAGATGATTTAGAGGTTTATAGATGGCCTCACTTTTCAGCTGCGACTGCTTATGATCAAAGAGAGAGTGTCTGGTGCTACTTTTGATGAGGTTGTCGACATTGCTCAACATATTGAGATAGTTCGCGGGCAGGAGAGGATTCAAAGGGAGGCCAAGAGGCCTCGGGGATAGGGTGGATTCAGTGGTGCTCCTCATAGGGGTTAGTTCCAGCATGGGAGAGGCCGTCTATTCAAGCATGCTCAGGCGGCCCGCCCAATTCACCGTGATGCATCATCGGGCCATAGTTTTCTGCGACGCCGCACCTACGGAATTCCCATCGCAGGTGTGGAACTCACTTAAAATCCCAGGTTCCGCATCTGCAGCCAAATCTCGCACCTGCGATAGCACACCTGCGCATCTCCCTCCGCTTCTGCGAAACCAGCCAATTTCCTCCTTTCCGCATCTGCACCCCAGGTCTCGCACCAGCGAGCTCGCAGATGCGACCGCCTTCTCGCACCTGCAGTTCCAGTCCAACTCAACACTACCCGCATCTGTGACCTCCCATGCACTTCTGCAGTCTCGCACATGTGGCTCCCTCTCCACACGTGCGGAAAACACCAGCAGCAGCAGTTCAACCGCATTTTCCAAGTTCCAAACCTTCTGTTAACCACCCGGAATCACCCCAAGGCCCTGGGGACCTCAACCAAACATACCAACACGTCCCATAACATCATACGAATTTAGTAGAGCCTTCGATTACTCAAAACAACATCAAAACACCAAATTACCCTCGGATCCAAGCCTAAGAACTTCTAAACTTCCAAATTCTGCAAACAACGCCGAAACCTATCAAACCACGTTCGAATGACCTCGAATTTTACACACACGTCACAAAAGACACAACTAACCTACTCCAACTCCCTGAAATCTGTTCCGACCCCGATATCAAATTTTTCACTGCCGACCATAATTGCTGAATTTTCAACTGTCGTCAATTCAAGCCAAATTCCACTACGGACCTCCAAATCATATTTCGGATGCACTCCTAAGTCCAAAATTACCTAACGGAGCTGACGGGACCATCAAAATTCAAATCCTAGATCGTTTACACATAAATCAACATCCGGTTGATTTTTCCAACTTAATCTTCTAAGAAAGAGACTAAGTATCTCAATTCACTCTGAACCACTCCGGACCTGAACCAACTAACCTGGTATATCACAATATAGCTGAATAACACAAAAGAAGCAGAAATGGGCAAAACATGGCTATAACTCTCGAAACGACCGGTCGAGTTGTTACACCACCACATTAGTATTAGTTTCTCATAGTATTTGAGTATTGATAGTTTGTTATATTTTGCTCCAATCCTTTGCTTATATATTTCATACATGATCGAACATGTAGAATCTATATCTAATGACCTTCTCTTCTTCTTTTTTGAACATGTACATTTATTTGGGCATGCTGAGTTCCTGGGGAACTTGGGCCCAAGTCCAACATTGCTGTATTTCTGGAAATCTGAAGTCAGTTGTCGCCATCCCTATTACTGTTTGGCGTGCCTCTTTAAGGCCCAAATTTCAGAGTCCCATTCTCTACCTCTAAACTCCGTTATTATTTACTGCTTCGTTACTTAGTTTACTGCCTTGTTGCACTTTGGATTGAATGCTTTAATTTATATCCTATGTCATATAAATATAGGCAAGCCTTAAATAACATGGGATTAAAAGAAGAATTAGTTAGTAACTAATCTCCCGTCCGCTAATTATAAATTATTTATATCATTACTATATTTTTTGCTCACCTTTTTCCTTAAAAGATTTTGAAGCTCAAAGCTTAGCAACAACCACACTTTCAAAAGGAAAAATCAGATTAGAAATCAAGCTTTATCTTCAAAAAGGGAATCAAATTATTTTGAAAAAGTGAAGTGTTGTCGCTTCAATGGATTTTCAAAAAATAATTTTTTTTTCAAGTCTTCAAATCAAGGTATATCTTAGGCTTACTCCCATCTCATTAGAACAACATGCACCTCTATGCTTTGGGAACAAGTGTTTTAGTTGAGTTCTCCTTTTCACATACTTTCTAAAATACAAACATCCTATATCTTTTTTCAAAAGCTCTTTTCAAGTATATATGCACTAACGTTATTTTTCTCTATAAATTCATACCCTTTTAAACTACACCCTTTGTAAGAATTATGTCCTAATATGTGGTAAGCCATATTTTTAGAACACTAGTTAAGGCATAATATAAATTAATTCTAAATCTAGTCCATGTTCTATGGAGCTACATCAGGTAGATTTTAAGGGGTGCCTAGCACCTTCCCCTTGGAAGAACAAGAACCCATACTCATAATCTCACCGGTTAGCAGACTGCTAAAGAATATGACTTAGTAATTAAATAGGTACCCTAGTATACCTTTAAATATTAGGTGGCGAGTCTCTTTTATCAACAATAGAAAAACCACAAGTTGAATCTTGTTTTGACTAGTGCAAAATAGGGTGCAATACCTTCAATCTTCCAACTTTCGCCAAAAGTACCAAATCAACCTACGGACCTCTAAATCAACATCCGGACATACGTCTAAGTTCTAAATCACCATATGAAGCTATCGGAACCATCAAAATTTCATTCTGGAGTCGTCTACCCAAAAGTCAAACTCCGGTCAACTATTCCAACTTAGGTTTCAACCTTGAGACTAAGTGTCCCAATTCACCCCAAAACTCACCCGAAACCAAACTAACCAACCCGGCAAGTAACATAACCACAATTGAACATAGAGGAGGCAATAATAGGGAAACGGGACTAAAATGCTCAAAACGACTGGCCGGATTGTTACATGAGAGTATTAGTTTTTTCCCTTTCTTAGGTGGTGGTTTTTCTAACTTTCTTATCTATTTATACTAGATGGGTGGTGCCCGTGCTATGCACGGGCATATGCCCGACATTGTTTTTGTTCGCAAATATCACAAATCTTTGAGAAATATCATAAAGAATAGCCATATGATAATAGAAAAGGTTCGACAGCAGGAAAGCGTGTTATTTAAGAACACTCAAACTAAAAGTTCGAAGACAGATTATAAATAACCACATAATTGGATTCCGAGGAATATAAAAGACTTAAGAGATTTGAATAAGAAGACGCTGCTAAAATAGCAAGGAATATTAAAAACAAAGAAAAGACTAATTGAAGCTTCTACATCTTAAACAACTGAAGTAAAATGTTTAGTTCTTCCACAGAACCTCCAAAACCAAAGAAATCTTCAACCACTGTAGTATTGTAGTGTATGCACCAAGGCTACAAGAAAAATAAGAAAACACTTGTTAAAGATAAAGATTGGTAGCACTCCCTCTTTGCTTTATGGAATCAAACAAATGAAATCAAAATGACAAATAATGAGTAAAGGAAGTATGGCCAAAAGTCCCAC